GATTTCGACAATGTTCAAATAAGACCAATTTTGACTTCTATCACTTGTTACCAAATTCTACAAAATTTAGCATTCTTCTATCAGTTTTCTCAACTTTTTTTTGTTTAGGAATCTCTTTTAATGGAAAGAATTTTTAAAATTTTCAATGAAACTTTTAGTTATGCATCTCTAAAAGCTTAGCTTCAATTTTTTTTTCAATTTTTCTCTCTCTCTCTCTCTCTTTCCTCACTCCCTAACTTAAGTGCCATTGTCCCCAATGGCATGACTAGACTGATGCAAAGGGACTTAGGCCAAAGGAAACAATCAATGGGGTTTTCCCGAGGGGTTTAAGATTTATCAACTGGTCTCAAATCAAGAAAAGAAAAAATCTAATCCTAAGAGTAAAAGGAATTGAAAACTACGTTGGGTTGCCTCCCAACCAGCGCTAAGTTTAACGTCTTCAACCAGATGCATTCACTCACCTCTTTCATCTATACTCTCAGACTCACTTTCTTCTTCCCATAGACAAGGTTCAGATTGGGCTAACCAAGGGGTATACAGGGCATCTAAAAGATCATCTACCACATCTACCTTGCACTCATCTTTCCCTAGGTTTGGATACTTAGAGGCACTAAAAATATTTAACTTGACTTTCTGCTCCCCAAATGAAGTGTCCATCTCTCCTGATTTACATTTGATGTTTGCATTGACCGTTTTTAGAAATGGACATCCTAAGATTATCGAGTTATGGTTCAGTTCCTTAGTTGGGGTCGTGTCTAGGACAACAAAATCTACTAGGAAGTAATAATCTTCTATACTGACAATGACGTCCTCAATAACACCTCGAGGAGTCTTGACCGGCCGATCAGCAAGTTACAAAATTACTGGGGTAGGTTTTAACTCACTGATCTTGAACCTTTCATAAATGATTGAGGGAAGTAGATTTACACTAGCCCCAAGATCCAATAGGGTCCGATCGAAGGTGATTCTAGAGATGACACAACTTATGAGAGGGGTGCCAGGGTCTTTCATTTTTTGGGAAAGTTGGTTTAAGAGCACCGCGCTAACATCTACAGAGAGCATCACTATTTGTGGGGCCGATCGTGGCTCCCTCTTTTTAGTGCACAACTCTTTTAGAAACTTGGCGTAAGCCAGGACATGTTGGATTGCATCGAGAAGAGGGATGTTAATATGGACTTGCTTGAATAACTCCCTGATCTCCTCATTGTGAGTTTCTTTCTTCTTTCAAAATGGCCCGACTGTGAGTGCGGTTGGAAAGGGGACCACTAGTCGGTTCACTATAGGCTCTTTTTCTAAATTTTCCTTTCCTTCTTCTCCTCCCCCCCCAAACTTAAAGTCTTCTTACTCCTTTTCTTCTTCACTGATTTTCTTTTTGTCATACGGGTCTTCTAAAATCCTCCCACTCTTTAAGGTTGTAACAGTTTTGGCATTTTTAAACTGAAGGTTCTTGGGAGGTGGTTGAATCTGTTGTGGAGGAAAACCTGATGGCTGATTTCTAAGATTTGCAACCGGTTGACTCGGTAATTGCCCTACTTCTCTCCTTACATTGGCTTTGGCTAGCTGTCCGATTTAGCTCTCTAATCTAGCGATGTACTCTTGCTAAGTTAGGATCAGCTGCTGTAGTTGCATGAATTGGTCATCAACTGTACGGGTCTGAGGAGCTTGTGGGCAAGCCTGATAAGGTTGGGCCAGTTGTTTCCTAGGATACATCTACTGGAATTGACTCTACACTTGTGGCCTCTGAAATTGCTGGGCGATGGAGTTAGATTGATGATACTGCTATGACTGTGAGTTACGTTGATGTGTCCTCCATGAAAAGTTAGGGTGATTTATCCACCTAGGGTTGTAGGTATTTGAGAATGGGTCATTGTTGGGCCTTGAGAAACTCAGGGCTACCTGAACCTATTCTTGGATAAATGGCGGAAATTGGTGGGTCGGGCTGGCACAAATGGAACAAACTTCAGGATCGGGTGTAGATGGGCCTGGTTGTTGGTTATAGGTGAAGAATTGATCAAGCTTTTAGGCTAGAAGATCTACCCTATCCAATTTTCTAGAGATTTTGTTCAAGTCCATTCTTGCCTCGGGCTCTATATTGTTCCTGACTTCGTAGAGCCCTGCCCTTTTTTAGGGTCCCACCGACCTTTCATAGGAATATAAGGATACATTATTGATGGAGTTTTCACTCAAGGTCAAAAAAGGAGCATACACTTCATCTTCACTTTTGCTCATAAATGCCCCCCACAGGATGCATCTACCATTTGCTTGTATTGATCAGTCAAACCTTCATAGAAGGCTTGGACAATTTGCCATTGAGACAGACCATGGTGTGGGCATTTTCTCATCTCTCCCAAGACTCGTGAATTTGTTCACTCGATGTTTGGGTGAGTCTAGTGATGGCTCTTTTCATGGTGTTGGTTCGTCCTATAGGATAAAACTTTCTAAGGAATTCTTGCTGCATTATTTCCCAAGGTCTAATAGGTCTCCCTATAGTTCCCAACCAGTGCTTGGCCTTGTCTTTCAAGAAGAAGGGAAAAAGAGTTAATCTAGGGGCATCATCGTTAAAGTTTTGGATCCTTACAGTGGAACAAATTTCTACAAAACTCGTCTATGTGTTTGTATGGGTCCTCACTCGCGTTTCCATAGAAAGAGGGGAGCATCTGGATTGTGCTTGATTTAATCTCATACTACAAGGCTTGGGTATCTGGCAACTGTATGCAAGATAAAGGGTTATACTGGGTTGAAGTGAAATACTCCTTCAGTTTTTTGGGTTGTGCATCATTGATTTTGGCCATTTGGTTATGTTGTTGGTGATGAAGGTATCTCTTTATCTCAAGTATGGGTTCTACTGTTTCTCTCCTTAGAGATCTCCTTCCCAACATACAACTCAGAAGTCCCTTTTTTTTCTTTTTAAAATTTGAAATTTAAATTTTGAATTTTAATTTCAAATTTAGGTTTTGAAATTTGAAATTTGAAATTTAAATTCAAATTCAAAATTTTAAAATTTTTTATTTTCTCTTTTTTTGATTTTTTGATTTTTATTTGAAATTTAAATTTTTAAAACTTAAATTCAAATTTAGATTTTGAAATTTAAATTCAAATTTGAATTTTTAAAATTTAACAAAAAATGCAAGAAATTCAAACACACGACCTACGGGCTGAACTAAGGTTTCCTAAACTAGTGGTTCTACCGATGCGAATCCTCTTAAGTTCACTTCGAATTACACTACTTCCTTTGGTTAGCCAGGTAAAAGGTGGGGATGTGGGAGGCTCCCCATGCTCTCACAAGGACCTAATTAAGTAACTACAAAACCCGCTTAGGCTTAGCCATTTAACCTCTTTCCTTAGACACTAACCGCCGGTTATGGAAAGTAATCATAAGTTTCCCTAAGATTCAGCGCAGTTTTGAACCAAATGTGAGGCTCCCTAAAGGATTTTGCTATCCAAATTTTAAATTAGGGTTTAGGGTGAACCATACGTGAATGGTGGTGATTTTTGGCCAAGGAAGGGTGATGAAATCCCCACCTTATCTTATTTAAGTTGGATTGCCCTTAAATGGGTTAACGAAAAAAAAAAACACAATGAACAAAATAAGTGCAACTAATTACAATGAATGAACAATTATTTCTAATATGCAATTCAGCACTTTAACATAAAATAAAATAGCAAACTAATTCAGCAAAAGGAATAATTAAAAATGAAAAACCCTAACACATTAACAACTAACAATGATAATTTCAACAATTAAATAATCCTATATGATGCATGCTCTAAAACATATCAAACCCTAAATGTTGGAATGCAAATGCAAAAAATTTAAAATATTAATTAATTTTTTATTTTATTATTATTATTATTATTATTATTGTTTTTTTATTTTTATTTTTTTTTAAATTGGAAATTTAAAATTTAAAATTTAAAATTTAAAATTTAAAATTTAAATTCAAATTCAGATTCAAATTAAAATTTAAATTTTGAATTCAAATTTGAAATTTAAACTCAAATTTGAAAATTTGAATAATTTCCTATTAACAATTAATTATTCAATTAAATAACTAATTAATTAAAGGTGCAATGAAGTAAAGGAACAAATAATTATAGCAAACTGAAAAATAAAAGGATTAATTTTGCTAAAAAAAATAACAACCACCAAAAATAAATTCTGACATGGAAAACCTTTACTCAAAGGATTAAATAGAAAATAAAAAAAATAAGAATATGTGGCAATTAAAGAAAATAAAATAAAACAAATGAAGTGAGTTTCTAATATGAAAATAAAAAATAGAACCTAATAATCCTAAATAGAAATTTGCTCAAGAAACTAAAAGAAAAAATAGATCTAAGAACAAAACGAAAAAGAAATAATACTAAAAAATAAATTGGATCTAGAAAAAAAGAAAAAAATTGATTAACTAAGAATTCGAAAATCACTATTTTACCAAAAAAATGAGTTCAAAAATAAAAATAAAAAATACAAGACTACGACTACACCTGAAACGCAATCTAATTTCTCTTCTCTTCTCTTTTCTTTAGTAGTTCGGTAATGCAAAACGAAAAAGTAGTACTAAAAAGTAAATCAGATCTAGAAAAAAAGAAAAAAATTAATTAATTAAGAATATAAAAATAAAAAATACAAGACTATGACTACACCTGAAACGCAACCTAATTTCTCTTATCTTCTCTTTTCTTTAGTAGTTTGGCAACGCTCCAGTACCCACCTTTTGCTATTATGTCCTATAAAATCAAATTGAAATAAGAATTAAAATGAGATTACAGATTAAGTAATTAAACGAAAATAAAAAAATAATGAAACAAATCCAGACAAAGGAATAAAAAAATTTCTCCGTTGCTTACCCTACTACGGCGCCAAAAACTTGGTGTGTTTAGAAGTGTGTCGTTAACCACTTCGGAACACCAATTTTAATATTTGTAAGTTCTCCGACTCTCAAAATAACTACAAGCGCAGTTAGTTGTGAGAAAGGGGCCATATCCATAGGGAAGCGAGGGAAAAATCACTACATACTTTAATCCGGAAAAAATAACACGATAGGAAGTTGCAAGAACACAAAACTTTAATTAATTAAACTATAATCTATTAAAATAAGATTCTAACAATGCTAAAGGTGAAAAGTGCAGAAAAATAAATAAATAACAAAAATAAATATATAAAAGAAACTAAATGAAAAGTCTACAACTCGGTTAGAGGTAGCAGTCTCTGGATCTCTCCTTTAACCCTCAAACTCCTCGAGCTATGCCTTTTGTCTTACCTGGCCAAATCCCAGATCTGTAGAAAAGAAAACAAAAATTAAACTAGATAAAAGTAAATCATAGAAAGGAAAAATAAGAACTAGAAATTAAAGAACAAAAATTAAATCTAAAATGAAAGTAAACTAGTTGGGATCTGAATCTAGAGGTGGCAATAGTGGTTGTGCAAACTGCAAGCAAGAACCCCTCTTCTTGCTTGGGCATTCTCCTCTTCCTCTACTCATGAACTTCTCAAGATCAGCCTTCCATCTTACCTGGGGGCAGAATCCAACCCCTTCTCAAGACCCCTTGGATCTTTTTTATAGAGAAGGGTGGATAAAACTGGGATTAGAGAGAAAGAGGGGTATGTTAGCTGGGATTTAGCAAAAAATATGGGCGCCCTAGGGTTTATAATAAAGGGTTAGGATGGTTCTAAGGTGATCCTAAGGTTGAGAAGAGAAGGAGAGGGCACCCAATATTATGTAGGGCTGATATTTAGTGGCTATAGGCTGAATGATGAGGATTAAAAGGGATGAAAGGTGGAGACTTAGCAGTTAGGGGCAACTAGGGTTTGTTAAAGATGAACAGAATGAGTGAAAAGGTGCCCTAGTGTTTTCTAAGGAGAGGGGAGTATGCTAATATAGTAGGAGGGGCACCATTCTAGGTTTAGCGGATAAGAGGCGCCCTCTTGTGCTTAGTTTTTCACAAAAACACCCACTCTCTCAGCTGGACTTCACACTAGCTTCCCAAAAATTGCATTTGAGCCTTGAAACTTCGCCAATTTTCCCCAAGATTTGCACAAAGATCCTCAGGAGTCACAATCTTGAATTTAACTAGGATAAGGGGACATTTTGACTATTCTATGGCCTAAAATACCCTTGAAATGATGCCCTTAAGACATCAAACTATAGAGTTATCACTCTCCAAGGCTTGTTCAAACTAGGGTTTTGGGAGCAAGAGAGAAGAGATAGAGAGGGAAAGTAAGAGAAAGTGTAGAGATTGCATAGGTAGACCACTCCCTCTTAAGCCTATTGATAGAGCTCTCTCCTAATTGATTGAAGACTTAATCTTTCTAGTAAGATGGATCTCCATTCCCATTTCCATACCCATATTCAATCCATATCACATAAAAACTTCATTAACTTGTCTTACTAGTAATGGGCTTATGCATATGTGCTTTAAGTAAATCACGTACTTAGTCATTGTAAGGATCTTTAGGCCTGATATTTGTGTGCCATGGGACCCACAAAGGTCTTACATAAATCCATAGGTTTATCTTAGGTCTAGAAATAGATAGGTCGAGTTCACTACACATGCGAAATAAACCCCTGAGCCAATCATGTTGGGCACAATTAGAACCCAACACTTAAGTCTAAGTGATCCTTTGTTTTAGCTACCCAATGAAGCCTAAGGATAATGGACTGATATGAGACAAAACTCATCAGCTTATAAACCTTATAATGGTCTCTTACCATTATCCTCTCAGTCCTAAATAATCAAAATACTGCTTATAGGGAAAGACCTCTTCTTGATTGCAAAATGTAGTGTCACACCCTCTACTCAAATGGATTTTGGGATTAAAACCTTTTACAAACTATTTTTTTAGAAAATAATATAATATACGTATAAATACATTTTTCAAAACTGATTTCAAGTACAGTTGAAGTACACTAGTGGTAGTTTTAAATTTCCATTAGAGAGAGTGTAAACCTTGATAATTACTTTGTTTAACAAAGGGGATGATTTTTTTACTATGATCACCCACTCAGGTAATGTCCTAATAAATTGCTCCAATATACTTAGGTATTTGACCCTAGATGGATTTCACTAGTTAAAATATCAAAAGTGGCTCAACCAAGACTTAGTGTAGTATCATAATCAAGTTTGAAATTAAGTGCAACTTTTCAATTTTGCCGATTTCTATCTAAGGTGTAGAATATAACTAGAAATTGGTATAGGTTTAGTGCTTCTCACAAACAACCACTATCTATACTTGGGGTGTAATCCTAGAAGTTGTGACAAGTTACTAAACCAATTTGGCAATACATCAATGTTAGTCTTGTCAAGATAAATTTTTTAAGTTTATCCGATGGCCAGAAACTTTTTAAACTAATACAAGTTTCATAAATGTCTAGTTAAGGAGTAACTCAAAAACATACCAATCAGAACATAAAACAATAATGTACTGATATAGTGTACATCAATCTGATTGAGCTAAGGGCATATACTATCTAATAGTAGATAATGCTTATTGATAGAACTACTTCTACCAATAAGCGAGGGAGCTAATGTAAGTCCATAGATTTAGGCATCATGGGAATTGCAGTGGAGGCTATACAAGGACATCACCATAGTGCGTCCACATTGCAGTATAAGTCCAAACTCACCACATTGCAATTTTGCCTTGTAATAATCACCAAATCACAATAGGTGTTTCACTTTGTGAACATTAGATAGAGCCTCTTCATCGTAGTTCAAGCACACTGGTCTTAACTGAAGAATCTTGTTACTTGAATCCACCCTATTACTTGATACAACACAATTATTTGCACTGTGATGGCATCCCACCTTAACTCCATATTGCAACACCATGACAACACAACTCCTCTACATCCACTTTGTGATGTCACACTAATACTTGGGCATTCTCAAGAAACCTCTAAGTCAAAATTGGGCTAGCATCTAGAAGAGGGAAGTATCTACACTAGTTCTCACATGCAAATCTCGAGAAGGGTGTGAACCTAGACCTTGGGATCTTTGTGTGGACACTTGGTGACACTACACTTGGCTTGCATGTTTTAGATCTAACAAATCAACAAACTTTCCCGCATGGGAAAGTTTTCCTCCTTTACATGTCTCATGTCTATAAATAGAAGATACTAGAGTTTCTCCTCACCTCAAGTCTTCATAGATCCCTACATAAGCTCTACCAGACTAAAATCCTAACCTACCTCAAGCTTTCTACGATTCCCTTTTCTCCATCTTCCTTTCCCATAGACATCCACCATCTTTCAGGTAGACCTCTTTGTTGCCTTACCTTAGCTTACTCACACCTAGTAGTACCAAGAACTCATCCCACATACACAATGCTAAACAAAATCCTTCTCCATGACATGCTTGTCATGGATAGCTTGCGTAGCTTTGTGAAACCAGTCCACATAGAAGTCTTCATCAAACCTTTGTTCTACATTGTGAAGGTTAGCCATTTTTAATCTCCTTTCCATTGTGAACCACTTCCCAATGAACTTCTTGACTAGGTCTTCCCATGAATTGACACTCCCTAGCGTGAGATTGACAAAGTAGGTATAAGCTAAACCAGTTAGTGATTTAGAAAATTCCCTTACCTTTAGGTCTTCATCAAGGGAAAATAGTCCAAGTAGGTTCTCAGACTTAATGATGTGTTCCTATGGGCTGTTAGACCATCCGTCGTACAGGTTCCATTGCTGTAAGGGGTTGTACCCACTAGGATTGGGCTTGTGAGCTATACACATTGAGTAAATTTTTGGAGTAATACTTAATTAACAACCCCCTATTAGACGTTAGTAATGGGTATTATTTACTTCCTTTTTTGTTTTTTTTAATTTCTTTACACAATGATTTCCTCCCTTGTTTTTCGCTCTTCCTCTTCCTAATCATCTTTCTTCCCCAAACTCAAACCCACATATCGAACTTGAATATATAAAAGAACAATTGATATATTAATCATGCCTAGGGACCAGTTGCTCAAGTAAACATCTCTTGGGGATGGAGTGCTAATGTGGAAAGGATTCAATCCAAGAAATTCAAGTTTTTTGAACAACAATAATTTTCAATACAAAGTCTTTCTTAGAGTATGTGAATGACGACTTATAACTTTAATTTCTATCTAAAGTCACGTAACAACTTCAAAAGTCTTAACACAATCATATAATAATTCTTTGTTTTTAATGGGGAAAATTGGATTCAAATAATCAAACCATTTAACTTATACTGTTGACATCTAATATTCAAAATAGAATGAAGACTTTACAATGACAGAGATGTATATTAGAGTTTGGAGTATGTTGATCCTTTTATGAAGTGTTCAAGATACTTTGAGCATTTGTATAGCAGAAAACCAGTAGATTAGGGTTTAGGGAGGTATTGAGGAGTTAACCAGCCCTAGGCTTCCTCCTCCTACCAAAGAGGGATCTAGATCTCTTACCAAAGAGAGCTCTGGATCCCCTACGAAAGAGAGCTCTAGTCTCCTTACTAAAGATGGATCAGCTACTATTCAGAGAATTCCTACCATAGAAAGACCACTCAAAGCAAAATGGAAACTCTCCTCTTTAGAAGTTTCCTAATGAAGCTATTGCCTTAATTTATTATTTCTATTCTTGTAATTGTTTCTAATTCTTTCTTTATTCTTCTTGTATATATACAGCCTTGTACAAGCTCCTAATTGTTCAATGAAATTCGACCCATTCTTTTAGACTACCTTCTTCATATTGTTTCTTTAACTTTGTATTAGAGCCATGGCTTACAACACCTCCATTGCATCTGAAGCAATGAGCTCAATCTCATCCCTTTCCCAAACCTCTTCTCTACCTATGAGCATCAACTCAATTCTCAACATCATTCATTACTTGATAATCAAGCTTAATGGTGACAACTTTCTCCTCTGGAAGGCCCAATTGCTTCCTGTACTTCGAGCTCACAAGGTGATGGGGCTAATTGATGGATTGACCAAGCCTCCTTCAGAAGAGATACCTGATACTAATGATAACAGTAAGAAAATTTTGAACCCTAAATTCTCTACCTGGGTACAGTTAGACCAGTTGGTTCTAAGATCGCTTGTTGCTTCACTAATTGAGGGAGTCCTAGCACAAGTTGTTGGACTTTTCACAGCTACTAAAGTTTGAAGTGCTCTTGAAAGGTCATTCTCGATCCAGGGTACTACAACTTAGGCGCCAGCTTTAGAATCTGAAGAAGGGAAATTTCTCCATCAATGATCATGTTCAGAAAGCCAAGACCATTGCAAATAATCTTTCTGTTAGTTTCAAAACTAGTAGCAAAAGAAGATCTAGTTCTATATATTTTATCCGATTTGGGAAGTGAGTATGAATCCTTCATTACAACCATCACCAATCGAACTGATGCAGATCAAATCAACATTAGTGATATTCTTGGGTTACTTTTGAGTCATGAAGCCTGGCTTTTACAACAAAATTTTTCTAGTGAGAATCCTAATGCAAATGCTACTATGAATAATAAAAATGTGACTAATAGTTTTTAGTTCTCTCAGAACTCCTATAATCAAAATAGGGGTAGCAACAACCATGGTAGAGGCAGGGGGCATGGTGGTTAGCCCTCTGGCCGCAAAAAAGGTCGTAGAAAAGGAAATAACATTGTTTGTTAACTTTGTAACAAACCAGGCCATAGAGCACTGAAGTGTTACAAAAGGTTTTATCTCTCATATCAAGGAGAGAGTAGCTCGCATCCAGCAAATCCTATAGCTTTTCACGGCGGTGTCTCTTATACCGGTTCTATGTCTAGATCAGGGTTTGATCCAATTTGTTATCCGGGCAGTGGCGCCACTCATCATATGACACCGAATGCTGATAATTTATAAGTTTGGACTGAATACCAAGGTTCTGATTAAGTCAAGATTGGTAATGGAACAAGTTTGACTATTAATAGTACAGGGTCGACTTCTCTAGTTAGCAATCATAATCAGTTTGCTTTGAAGAATATTTTTCATATTCCTTCTCTTACTAAGAATTTTCACTCTGTATGTAAATTTACCAAGGATAATAATTTGATCTTTGAATTTCATCTGGATTTCTTTGTTTTGAAGGTTCATACGGGGAGAGTTTTACTCTGAGGACCCAGTAGAGACGAACTCTATCAGTTTCTTGGAGCAGTTCAACACAAGACAGAGAACTCGACAGCTTTTGTATGTGAGACCGCGAGAAAACCTCCTTGGTAGAATAGCATCAATGACTTGGTCATGCTTCTCTAAGAGTTGTGAAAGATATTGTTTTTAAGTTTGGTATACCTTGTTTTGGATCTCTTAATTGTTCTTTTGTGTGTGAAGCTTGTCAATTGGGCAAAGCCCATCATTTCAATTTACCATCTTCAAATTCAACTTTTTCTTCTCCTCTTGAGTTAGTCTTTTYTGATGTGTGGGGACCTGCCCCTATTTTGTCCAATAAAGGTTTYCGTTATTATGTTTTATTTATGGATGCATATTCAAAATTTTCTTGGATTTTTCCACTTGAGAGGAAGTCGAATATGTTTAACACCTTTCTTAAATTTTAGAATCATGTTGAGACTCTCTTTTTCTACAAATATTAAGATGTTCTAGAGTGATTGGGGTGGTGAATTTTGCTCTCTTTCTCGCTATCTGATGATGCTGGTATCATTCACCGTCTCAGCTACCCACATACGCATGAGCAGAATGGTAGTGTTGAACGCAAACATCGACACATTATTGAGTCCACATTGTCTCTACTGGTGTCCTCCTTTCTCCCCCAGTCCTTCTGGGCCGATGCTGCTGAAATTGCAGTCTTCCTTATCAACCGACTACTGAATCCGGGTCTTGGTAATCTCTCTCCTTATGAGAGGCTATTTGGCAAACCTCTTGATACTCTATGTTAAACGTGTTTGGTTGCAAGTATTATCCTTTACTTCATCCTTATAATTCTCACAAGATGGATTTTTGGTTTGCTCCTTGTATATTTATTGGTTACAACAACAGTCACAAAGGGTACCATTGTTATAACTCCGCTACTAGCAAAGAAATCATTGCTCGCCATGTTGTGTTTGATGAACATTCCTTTCCTGGAATGGTACCTTCGTTGCCACCCTCCAGCTCTGCTGCTCCTATTGGCGTTACTCTCTCTTCCTTGGATCTCATTAATGCTGACATGTGTCCAACTCGCCATGTTGATCTTACTGCTCCTTTTATTCCAGTTGCCCATGTTGATCTTGGTGCTACTCTTGATCCAGTTTGCCATGTTGATGAATCTGTTACTTCTTCCTCTACACCAAAACAGGCAGTTTCCACCAACACTGCACTAGCTTAATCTGCTACTCGCCATCCTCTTCCGTTTGCTCTACTTCATGATGTTGCTTCTCATGAAGAGGATCCCTCTTCTTATAGACAAGCTGCTAAGTCCCCTCATTGGCGCTCTGCCATGGCTGTCGAGTTTCATGCATTGATTCAAAATAGTACTTGGGAGCTGGTTCCCTATGATGCTTCTACGAATGTAGTTGGATTTAAGTGGGTGTTTAAAATCAACCAACACTCTGATGGTTCAATTGACTGCTACAAGGCTTGCCTTGTTGCACAAGGCTTTACTTAGGTTCTAGGGGTTGACTTTACTGAGACCTTCAGTCCTGTAGTTAAACCTGCGACTGTGCGTACTGTTATCTCACTTGCAATTTCCTATGGATGGGACATTCGCCACTTGGATGTCCATAATGCCTTCCTTAATGGTTTTATGACTGGAACTATTTATATGCGTCAACCAAAGGGTTTTGAGGATAGCAATTATCCTCATCATGTTTGCAAGCTTCACAAGGCCCTCTATGGACTCAAACAAGCTCCTCGGGCTTGGTTCTCTTGTCTAAGCAATCGCTTATATAAACTTGGTTTTTGTGGTCCACAGTGTGACCCCTTTGTTCATCTATAGTCAAGAGCAAATTATCATTTACATTGATGATATTATTTTTACTGGCTCTTCTTCTGCTCATGTTTCTCAACTTGTTAGTAATTTATCTTAGACATTTGCACTAAAGGATTTGGGGTTATTGCATTATTTTTCTTGGTGTTGAATCTCACTGTGATGCCACAGGGTTATTTCTCTCTTAGCGTAAGTACATCTTGGATCTCTTACTGAAGGCTAACCTTGCTGTGGCCAAACCAGTCTCTAGCCCAATGGCTACATCTTCACACCTCTCACGGTTTGATGGTGAACCCTTACCTCATCCTACTCAGTACCAGAGCATTGTAGGTGCTATTCAATACGTTACTCTCACTAGGCTGGATGTTGCTTTTGCAGTAAATAAAGTTTGCCAATTCTTACATGCTCATTCTAAAGAGCATTGGGGCACAGTTAAGCGTATTCTATGGTACCTCAAAGGTACCATTAACACTGGATTAATTTTCTCAGTACACATGTCCTTCAACTTGACTACATACTCTGACGCTGATTGGGCCGGATGCTCGGATGATAGATGATCTACTGGCGGATATGGCATTTTTCTTGGTTCTTACTTGATCTCGTGGAGTGCTTAGAAACAGCCTATTATTGCTCGCTCAAGCATAGAGGCTGAATTTCGAGCTCTAGCTAATGCCACCACAGAACTCTTGTGGCTGAACTCTCTACTTTCTGATTTGGGGGTCAAGCTCCAATCACCACCAGTGTTATACTGTGATAATATTGGAGCCACATACCTTGCAGCTCATCCCATTTTTCGTGCTCGCACTAAACACATTGATGTTGATTTTCATTTTCTTCGGGATCTTATTATTAAGAAGTCTTTGGTGGTGCAGTTTCTTCCCACTCAGGACCAGGTTGCTGACATTTTCACTAAGCCACTCTCCTCTCACCGGTTCGAGTGGCTTCGGTCCAAGCTTCGTGTGCTTCTTGCTAACTTTCGCTTGAGGGGGCGTATTGAGGAGTCAACCAGGCCTAGGCTTCCTCCTCCTACCAAAGAGGGATGCAGATCTTTTACCGAAGAGAGCTCTAGTCTCCCTGGTAAAGATGGATCAATTACTATTCAGAGAATTCCTACCATAGAGAGACCAATCAAAGCAAAAAGGAAACTCTCATCTTTGGAAGTTTCCTAATGAAGCTCTTGCCTTAATTTATTATTTCTATTCTTGTAATATTTTTATTCTTGTAATTGTTTCTAATTCTTTCATTATTCTTTTTGTATATATACAGCCTTGTACAAGCTCCTAATTGTTCAATGAAATTGGACCCATTTTTTTAGACCACCTTTTCTTCATATTGTTTCTTTAACTGGAGGGAAGAGAGGATGAGGAAAAGTGAAACTAATGAATCGTGTGCAAACACATGGAAATTTCTTGGAAAACAATAGATATCGATGCATGCAGTAGCAATCTAATTGAATCAATTGAACTTCACTTCAGTTTAAATAAAGACCTTTGAGCTTCAGTAGGTATAGAGCTCTGCTAATTCTTCCAAGGACTCCGACGTGAGGTTGGGATCGGCATTCTCAAGCATCCACAGAAGGTGGTCAAAAAGAACCACTTCACATTTCACAGTTCTGTCGTCACCAGTGTTGTGCTTTGACTTCTCAATTAGAGCACTTATAAGAGGATGATTCAGGTGCTTTGAACTGATCGAGTAGCGCCTCCTGGAACTTCCGACGAATATAGTTTCACGTTGCTCATCTTCTGGCATATCTCCCCAGAATTCTTCTCTGGTGGACTTAGACCTGAGACTACTGTAAGAGGAGGATCTACCCAATTGCATTGACAAACTCTTACACTTCTTTAGTATCAGATTAATCTTCTTCATCCTTAAACCATTCACAACACAGACAAAAGAGGTGAGAGAGAGAGAGAGAGATTCCAAGCTTCAACCTTGGATACTTGGGAGGTTAGAAGAAATGTGAATTCGAAGACAAATAATGAAATGAGCCTTGAAATACACTCAGATACTCTTAATTGATGGCGGGGCCATTGAGATTGGTACCGAGTCGTTGTTTTGGTGTTGTAACTCAGGACCCATCATCACACAACCAATGAACCAAATGAAACAAACAAGTTGTCCTTTTCAGTTTTGGTGTGGGGTGGGGGGGGGCATACACGCACCGACATATACAGAAAGAAAAGCAACAGCCATGTAATACGAACAAAGGAAAATGTGACAGTTGAAAGTTTCTTTCAACTGAGGCACATTATATATATATATGATCTCATGGAATCCAACTGTTGTACTAATTCTGCATCAGTCTTCTGGATCCCACCTGTTCCTGTCCATGGGAACACAACAATGAAGTTCACATCTCCCGATAATAGTACCAGTGCCGATGATGTTATTATTAAGAGAGATGTTTCCAATACATGGCAGAGATATGCTATGGGGCATCTCCTTGTGGGGTAGAGATGTGATCTCGATAGGTTTGTGCACTTGCTTTTTCATCTTCTCTTCTTGTCCGGCCCATAGCCAAGCCCACCCACATGGACTCTTGATGGCTCTTTGTGGTGCATTCAGAGTGTTGGGACCCCATCCAGAATATTGTGAATGAATAAGCTCATAAGCTCATATATGGTTGGATCTCGCCTGTTATTATCATCAGATTGGTTTCAACTTTCAACCACGACTTAAAAAGAAGCCACATGTGAAGTGTGTATGTACATATACAAACCCAGTCACATATCCATGAAGACATTTGAGGTAGTACATCAATTAAACAATCTGCTTTTTGTAATAGAGAAATTGGATTTCAGATTGCATGTTGATACACTAATATGGTTCTCATTGCAGCTGGGAAATCGAAAGCTAGCTCATAAAATGCCCCCTTATGGGATGATGCCATCTAGTTTAATTATCTATTTCTTTTAATTGGATGCTTAATTAGGATAATTAAATATACCAAGAATGACTAGGAAGAGGTTTGTCTTCTACCTGACTGTATCAGTTTAATATATTGGGGTAATTTGAGAGGAATTCCATGGTGGGCACCCACTTTATTTTTTGGTAACTCAACATGCATGTGTAAGAACTAGAAACACATTAATAGTTAATAAATGAAGAATAAGGAATTAGTGATGGTATTTACCATAAAATATGAAGTCTACAATTGGGTGAATTGTACTCAACTAGGCTTTGAGCTTTGAATTTAGTATTGTCCTAGCTAACTCCCAAGAAAATGCTTGCTAATTTTGGCAAACCCAGGAGATAATATAGACCACAAGAACTCTTGTCGAAGGGATAAAATTAGAGAAGCAGCCATTTTCTAACCTTTTAGTGACGGACAGAATGCTGAGAGTAGCGCGTGTACCAATGTTTTTGAATTGTCGTTGATTTAGACGGTCGGACCATTTGGTCAGGAAATCGTCCAAGCAATTGATTCCGTTTCAGCCTTAACCCATTCTTGGGTCAAAAACCGTTGATTTTGTCCAAAAACCGCTAATCCGGGTGGTTGAACCATCGGCTCATTTAACCCAGACAAGGTTCGTAGTATAAAGTTGTAGGAGAGAAACACACGAACTCAGATCTCAGATTTGAGGAAGAAGAAGAAGATCACAGATGTTGCAGAGAATCTCATATCTGAGATCCAAGAACTCAGATCTGTGTCTGTTGCTGCCGCCTTGCCGTCGCAGTCACCATTATTGTCGCCGGAGTGCGTCGAACCATTTTCCTCCTCTTCCTTCTTCCCTCCTTCCTTTCCTTTCTCTTCTTTTCTTTTTTTCCTTTCTCCTTCATTTCTTTCTTTCTTTCTTTCTTTTTTTCTTTCTCAACCCACAACATCTCTTTTCCAGTTTTCATTTTTCAAATTTTATATAAAATATTAGTCCTAATATGCAAACCGTCCAAACCGTTTGATCCAAACAGTTGAACCGCTAACCCAAAAACTGATAATTAAAACAGTTCCATTTCTTTATCGGTTTTTAAAACCTTAATATTTACACACTGAGAGAGAGAATTCAAGTCTAAGAGCAATTACTTTGGAAAAAAAATGCTTAAGGTTAGGACTGAATCGTCTAATCCATCCCTCCCAAGAGCCCGGACACATCTGGGACCAACATTACGTAACCGGCTGACTAATGAATAAAACTGTGATCCTGTGATCTCCTGTTTTAATATATTTTTCAGTCAAAATCTGAAACATTGAGTAGAAATAGTCAACCTATGAAGTGGTCTTGTCTTGTGATCACCATACACATTATACCGAAGGAAGCAAGTGCATATTGATTGCAATGAAATCTAATTTGCACTAGTACAAATAAATGCACAAGAGTGCAAATTTTAGTTTATTTTTTGCTTTGAATTTTACTTTGCTTCAGGTTTCCTTTTACCTTCTTAATTTGCACTGCAAACATAGCAAACAAAGTAAAACTTAAAACAGAAAACAAATCATAATCTGCATTCAACTCGTTTATATTCTCATGTTTTTGCACCACTACCGATGAAAATATATTGTAAACAAACTACTTCCAAAGAAAAATGTGGTTCACTCTCTTAATGTTCAAAGATTTGTTCGATATAAACTGAGAATTATATTGTTTAGTTTGTTGACTTTGGATCTATCCCAGGAGTTTACATCTGCACCCCACAACGTCTCACAATATATTCTCGTTGTGTATTGGGAATATCTCCCGATGATGTATTAGAAATGGTGACGTCATCATCGGGAGATATTCTCAATACAAGACAAGGATGTGCTGTAAGACGTTATGGAGCGCCCCCTTGTGGGGCACAGATCTGAACTCCTATCCCCGATCTGAGAAGGTCCACTGATTAAATGGAATGTACTAAGGATGCCCTCCAATGGCCAATAATTCTCAGCCGGCCACCAGTAGGAGAGAGTTATTTTAGATGTAACATTAACAAGATGTTGTACTTTTCCCTTTCCCTGTTCCTCCACCCTCCCCTAAGGCTATGTTTGGTTTGAAGGAAAATGAAAAAAAGAGAAAAATAGGGAAATCTTTACAAATCTTGTATGGGTTTCCCCGACTTTCCCTTTCCTTTTTTACTTTTTCCTTCAAACCAAACATAACCTAAGAGAAGATGGAAAAGAAAACCTGTTTAGCATTCTTTTAATGTAGGAAATTTGATGCAACAAATGCAACTACCATTAATTATAATCTTCATCAAATGGTGCTCAAATGTGGGTCCTGGTGAAACACAAATTTGGAACTAGTGAAGCTTGTTTCCAGCTTAGCTTCCAAGGCAAACAATTGAAGTTTTGGGTGGGGTGACTTTGAAGCAAAAAAATGTGCTTGAGCTCTAACACAGTAGAGATTTTATACATGGAGAGAGATACTCCGTTCTGACAGTGACAAGAAAGAAAATTAATTAGCACAAATCACACCAGTGGATTGGAAAAGGGCATCTGCTCTTCCATTTGCAATACCCAGGTTATATTTTGTAATTATGATGGTTAGAAACTCAGTTGTTGAATAATGAAAACCAAACAAGATCATCCCAACTACCCTTTTGGCTTTTTCAAGCACTTGGTAACTCGACTATTTAGTAGTTGGCATCTATAACCACCAAACTCAGTTGTTGAATAATGATTTCCTGACTATAGTTGGCATCTATAACCACCAATGATAATGATAATATAAAAACTTCATTTTGATAATATAATTGCATAAATTACAGATTACTGCCTTGTACTTTAAGGTTAGTAGCAATTAATCCTCTGAACTTTCAGATTCCGACAAAGACCCCCCACCTTGTTGAGTGATGGAAGAAATTAATTTACCAAAATACACATTTGAGAAATTTATATAAAATAAAAATTGCAATAAAAGATTCAAGAAACTTGTATGAGAATTTGGAATTACAACAAATATATCATTAAATTAATATCAACTAAACAATTAGCAAATGGAAATAAAAAAAAAGTATTAGAAAATCCTTGGAAAAATGGATAGTTTAGGGATTTATAATATTTTAAAGTCACATAAAAATCTTTTTCAAAGTTAACTAAAGGAATGCTAATGGAGGGGTCTTTGTTGGAATCTGAAAGGTTAGGGGGTAACTGCCACTATCCTAAAGTATAGGGTACTAATTTGTAATTTACCCAAATATAATTTTAATAAACCAACAATAAAGTACAAAGACTATTTATGTTTTGATAAAATAAATGTTTTAATTATAATGATTTTATGTACCCTTTTATAAAATTTACCTTTTCAACATAATGTAAGTGCATGGATTTAAACCCTATGGAGACTGCTGCAAACAAGTAAGTAGCCACAGCGCAATCACATCACACTCGTAAACCCAAGCCTCTACTCTTAAACGGCAGAAAGAACTACATTAAGGAACACCCAATAATTGTAGATATAGCTTGAAAATCTTGTGATGAAACACATTGTACTGTTGTCTCACCGTAGAACACAACCGGGTCTTTTCAGTAGGCATCATTAATTGTTGTTCTACGGATCAACACACCATCACGACACTTCTTTGCGGTGCGATGACATATTACCTAGGCATTGCAGCTTAACAGTATAGCACACTCACAAGATCTTTGATGACAATTTAATGTCTAAGTATTTAAATAGAAGAAGAAAAAAATTCTAGGGCTTGAGAGGCTTCTAGAAGTAGGGTTGTGACTGAGCTTGTGTTCACATGTGGATGGCGAGGAGAAGGGAAAGAACCTAGAACTTGTGATCTCCACAGTGACACATGGCAAAACCCTACTTGTGATCTCTCTACTTCAAATATAATAGAATAACAGACTTTTCCACTTTGGGGAAAGCTCCTTTTAAATTAAGTGGCTTCCTATTCTATTATGGAGTCTTCACTAGTTGTGCAAGCTCTGCAAATTATATTCTCAGCCTTCATTAAAAATTTCTGCAATCCCCTTCCTTGCCCCTTTCTCCTCTCTTATGCCACACTTTATCTTTTAAGTAGACCCCTACAATCACCTTACTCCACCTACATTAGA